TTTACTGCAACTTCCAAACAGGCCAGTTCCTCACAGTATAACACAAAACTCCAAAGTATAATCACTGCTTTGTAACCAACAGAGGAGCCAGTAAATCATCTATACCTACTGATACTAATGTGTCTGTTTGGCTGCTGTTACAGAAATGGTTCCTACACCTGTGATGATGACGTCAGTGTTTGACTCCAAACTGTCTGCTGGACTCTGCAGAATCACAGAGTCCCCAAGTTTTTAGGCCTTTTTAGACTTCATATGTTGAAGCATTACAATATTAAAATATTGATAGGTACTGAAACTTCTGCACTTAACTTTTACATATAACCTGAAAATAAGCTAAAAACAGGAAGTTACACTTTTAATGTATTTTATCTTTCTAAAAGAAAAGTGGTGGGATGAAAAAACACACCTGCTGTTAGACAATCTAAAACACTTGGATATGAACATGTAGGTGAGTGTGTGTAGATGATACTGCAACAAACCTTAATCATAACCTTTGTAAGAAAGTGTTTGACAGAATGAAGGATGGTGGCTGAGTTTTCATGCTTTTACTATGATTAATACAATAGCCTGAGTGACAAACTGAGGCACACTACATGCTCATGTGGAGGGACTAGCCAATCACAACGTAACCGCACTTTAAAGTATTCACTGTTCTGTCCTTTTGGACTCAATGTGGGTGGAGCCTAAGTCAGAGTACATGGAGAGAACCCAGACAGACAACCATAGTGGGAGTTGTCCCTTATGAGGGTCATGAATCCACTATTAATTATGTGTGTCATGACAAGAGACAAGATGTGAAAAGTGGGTCATTGTGCTGCATTCCAGATATCTCCGAACTTGGAAGTTGGAAATCGGGTGTGGCGTCACTCCCGAGTTAGTATGTTGCAGAAAAAGACAAGAAACACAGGATTTGTGTTGGTTCTTGGCAAGTTAGAGCAATGCAGGTATGATAGTAGTGCAGTATTATACTTGTTGTTTTGACTAATCAGTGTTCAAACAAAATCATGGCTCATTCAAGGAGTTAAAAATACACAACAGTGTAAAGTTTTTTGTCACGACCGGGTGGCCGGTGTGTGGTGCAAGAGTAAGAGCAGATGTTCAAGACAGGAATGAACTTAACAAAAACTGAGACGTTTACTTTAGGTTGGACCAACAATATAAATGAAAATTGAAAGGAAACTAGTACGATGTTAACAGTAAACTAAACTGGAGAGAACTAACACTATACACAGTGAACATGAAACTTAAACGTCACCAACATGAATGACATGAATACCTGAGACGTGACTCGTGATGAACAGAAACATGGCCCATGGTGAAAAGATGACCTGCCAATGAACGAATGAACTCACATCACACAAGGGTGACGAGGGAAGTGGAAACACAGCTGGAAGCAAAACTAAACACAGAACGTGATATTGTCAAAATAAAACAGGAAACATGCAGACAAAGAGACACAGACCTGAGACTGAGACCAGGGAAGAAACAGACATGGAAGCAGAAACGGGAGTTTGGATAAAAATGACATAACAGGATGCAGAGCGAGGGACAGAGAGATCTTCTGTGTTATTTAGTGCATTTATTGAGTGGCTGTTTGGTTTCTTCAGTGTAGAGGTCACACAACACCAACACCTCGCTGCATACGTCATGACAGGACACTGCACAAATCACATAAAAGTCTCTGAGAATAAAACATAATTATGAGCTGGTAAAATATGTCACCTGACCTGAAACAACAGAAGGTAAGAAGAAAACACAAGAAGCAAGCCT